ATTACTTAAAAATGGGATAAATAAAACAGACATTGATGGGGTTAAACAAAGTTTTAATACAGCACTACCTAAGGTTGGGCAGTCCAAAAGGACCCCCTCATTGGCCCCCAAACATTAAAGGATCCCCAAACAAGTCCCACTCTATTTAACCCTGTTTGGAGAAAGGTAAAAAGTCAGAAGATAAAGATTACATGAGAAACCTAACCAGCAATAGCTTGGGGACTGTGGTTAGGCAGATTAACCAAGACAAAAATTGACAAAAGGGCCAGCGTCCCATGGCTTGACCTCTTGCTGGGGACTCAAAGCCTTTTGCACAAGAGTGGTTAAAATGGCCAAGGGGTGGGGAAGAGAAGTTTCCAGGATTCCTCAATATGGGAGTCCCACATAATGTGATACCAAAGCCCACTGATTTGTGCTATAATTAGGTTGAGATTACCTAAAACTGTAACGGTTGATAGGATTATGAAAGACAGAATGTTTAAGCAGGTATTATGTAAAGAAGTCTGTCAACTTTCCTGAATGTTTTATATGAGAATGGATATTCTGTATGGTTGGGGAACTCTTCCCTACCTAGTATTGTAAAATCAAAACCTGTGGATAATATCCTAATAGAGACTATAGTTAGGAACATATGAGTTGATAGAATTATGGTAAAATTTTGTAGGGGAACTGGTAAGCTTGAATAAGCTTTATGTGAAGTGGTTGTGTCTTTTTTAACTGATTATATTTGGGGAACAGACATTGTACCTGACTGGGGAACATCTCCCTTAGTATTGTGAAACAGAAGACATGGAAATCAGTCCTTCAGGTAAGGTTAATTGGACATACTAAATGAGAACCAGTAAGATTGCCTGAGTGAGCCACGGAGTGTGGAATGGAAGCTAGAGGGCCGGTAGGGACAAATTCTCTATGTTGAGAGCCCTGCGTGGAGCCTAGACTGGGACTTAGGACAAAAGCCTGTGAGTGCTTCCCTGAAATGACTACTGGGACTTTGGGCAAGAGAATTTCCATTTGAAGGGTATTTACTATTTTGTTATCAGATGTTAATTGAAGCTATCCTGGTGATTGAAGGACATAAAATGATCTTGAAAGCTGAAATGCCCATAACGAGTAGAGTGATATTGGTGAAATGCTCTAATGAGGATGGCAATGCCCAAAAAAGTTGCATAATAAAATGGAAATGGTTTACTTAGGATTGTGTTGCCTGGGGAGTGCAAGGAAATATTCACAAGTAGGAGCCTCTTTTCCCCTAGGACTGGCTTTGGAATTGAATAAGGACTTGCTGGATTCTCTTGTCACATGGGCAGCCCTCGATTGACTTAACAAAGGACTGCTTGGTTTATGGATGACAGTTCCAAGGTGAATGGACAATATCCTGTTTGGAAGGCTACCACCCTGATGAAAGGTGGTCACCTAAGTCCATGAAATAAATAAACATTGGGACAGTTTAGAGATGGGCTGAATTTGGACATATTCCTCTTGCACCCAATGAGGCACAAAATGCCAATAAAAAATGGTCTAACTGGGGTGCCTGGGTGGCTCAGTCAGTTGAGTGTCAGACTCTTAATTTTGGTTCAGGTCATGATCTCAGGATCCTGAGATTGAGCCCCACATTGGGCTCTGCGCTCTGCAAGGAGTCTGCTTCAGGATTCTCTCTCTCCCTCTGCCTCCCTACACCAGCACTCAGTCTCTCTCTCAAATAAATAAATAACTCTTTTTAAAAAAAACTGTTCTACCAGCCAACAAAAGACACAGAGACTACAGGCGGCTATATGGCAGATTCTCTGGTGGGAAAGCCTTGAACATAACTGGCAAGTCAAGCTGATACTGGTAGCTCCAGGGGGCTACAAATGGGTGCTGACAGGAGTAGGCATGGACTCTGAACTAGGCTTGACTTACCTGGTGGTAGATGCAAATGATCAAAGTGTTATGAAAGAACTGGAACAGAAGATGCTACACCAGTTGAGACAGCTGACCGTCATTTCTTCAGATCAATGAAATCACTTTATAGCCCATAATGTGCACCAGTGGGGAGAGAGATATTGTCCTAAGAGCAGTATTTTGATAGAAAATTGGAATAGGTAATTAAAACACTGGTTGTCTAAGAGAAGGGGTGATAAAAGCAGGAAGGCCTGGCTTACACGCCTTCACAAGTATGTGCTCACAAAAAGAGGAAGGCTAAAGGAGTGTCCCCACTGGATAGATTTCTCTTGTTTCTCTGGTGGGTCTGGGCAAGAGGGAGTGGGGGAAATTGCTGGTGTACTTTCTTCCCCGTATCACCTTCTCTTCCCCTACTTGATGCAGTGATTATAGGACCAGGGCTGCAACTACAAGGTCTGGAATCAGGGATGATTCCTAAGCAAGAAACTGTAACTATGTTTTTAACCTTTATGTCAGAATTTCTAAGGGCCTGATGGGCCAGGATGTGCCGTCATCCCATCTGGCAAAATTGGGGTTAACAGTGAATGCAGCCATATTGCCTGGTGGTAAACATTAGCCCCCTCATCCTGCGCTTCTATAACCTTATTCTACGTGAACAGGAGTAGACTGAGTGGGGAGCACTTGCCAGACTAGCATTGTTGCCTGCGAGCTAGACCAGCACAGTGGCCAAACTTAATGTGCCTTCCAAGTATGGAAAAGTTTGAAATTAAATGGAGAGAACAAATAATTGTAGGCTATGGCTAAAGGAAAGAATAAGAGGGTTATGTAATGAGGGAAATACAGTATTACATTAACACCTTGAAAGAATCTCAGAGCAAGAGGTGATACCCAGACTTTCTTGTTATCAACCTTCTACTCTTATTCCTTTCTATTCCATAACATATAGGTCAAATCATTAGCTACTGCTCATGAATAAATGCTGTTATGAGTTGAGTTGTGTCTTCCCTAAAAAAGATGTGCTGACATCCTAACCCCGCTCTGTATCTCAGAATACAAAGGTAATCAAGTTAAACTGAGGTCATTAGGATGGGCCCTAATCCAATATGGTTGATGTCCTCATAAAAAGGGGAAATTTGGACACAGGCACACAGGGTGTGAAGACTATGTGAAGAGACACAGGGAGACGAATGCCACCTACAAGCCCAGGAAAGAGACCTGGAACAGATTCTTCGCCCCAGCCTTCACAAGGAACCAACTCTGCTAATATCTTGATTTCAGACCTCTAGCTTCCAGAACTGTGAGATGATAAATTTCCATTATTTAAGCCACCCAGTTTGTGGTACTTTGGGCATGGCAGCCCTAGAAAACTAATATAAATGCAAATCTATACCTCTGGCCATCCTCTTTCCAGGAAAAGTGAACAATCAGGTGTACCATTCGAAATTCTCTCCCATCAGGAGGAGTTCCCTTCCTTTCTAGGCCAGTCCTGCAGGATGCAATTCTCTAGGCGTCTTCTTACGACTTGTGCCAGATTTCTGTGTGGAAATATTTCTAGGTTAGGCTCAAATTTCCCATCTTCAGTAATTTGATCACAGGGCACTCCCACTGAGGCCATAGATGTAGGTTGAAAGAGAGGTGGTAAATGCAGGAACAGTAGGAGCACTGCCAGTCTAAACCATCCACTCATGAAACGTATTTATATTCTCTAGACCTTATCATGTATGATCTTGTATTATTACTTCCACTTGAAGATGGAGAACTGCTACACATGAAACCAATTTTATGGTTTGATGAATCAGCTAATATCTAGTAAGTTTTAGGCATCTCAGATCACATGTTCACGTAGTATTCCATAGTTAGGGGTTCAGTCTCTGTGATGGTCCAATAGCAAGACAGGAGCTGTGTTACTAAGTTGGGATCTCTAGGAAGCAGACACTGAGATAGACTTAAAGTGTAGGGTGTTTGCTAAGGAGTTATTTAGGATTGACACCTGTGGAAATGAAGTGATGGAGGCAGGATTCAGTAGACAGAGAAGTGGGGAGCTCTGGAGTTAAAATGGCCCTTTAGAGTTGTGCTGTGTTAGATTGGAATAGCCAGGTCTTTATATTTCCACCTTGATCAGTCGTTGGACATGGCTTACACTGGGATGGGTGTGACAGCTGAAGGATTGCCACTGATAGCTCTCCTGGCACTCCCAGAAACAAGTCCTTTATTGGAGGGGAATCTGGGTGGTGCATTTCCATGTCCTTACAGTCAATTCGATCTTTAGTTTATTGATCCTTTTGCCAATACTTCACCATCTTGATTACTGCAACTATATAAGATGTCTTGCAAATATGTATGTTTACTTGTCACTCGCCAATTTCTACAAAAAAAATCTGGTTGGATTTTGATTGGGATTGCATCTCTATAGAGATCAATTTGGTAGTAATGGACATCTTAATAATTCTGAGTCTTCCTATCCATGAACGTGGCATATTTCTTCATTTATTTAAATCTTCTCAACTTCTCTTTGCAATGTTTTATAATTTTCAGTATAGAAGTCTTGCACATCTTTGGTTAAATCTATTCCTATTTATTTTTTGATGCTATTGCAAATGGTAGTTTTTAAACTTTTTCCCCCCATTTGTTGCAGTTACATGGAAATATAATTGATTTTTACAAATCAACCTTATATCCTCAACCCTGCTAAATCTACTCATTAGTACCGGGTAGGTCTTCAGGATTTTCAACATATGCAATTATGTCATCTGTAAATAAAGAAAAATATTTTAAGTATCTGTGTCTTTTATTTATTTGTCCTGCATTTTTACATTGACTAGACCCTTCTTTATAATGTTGAACAGAACAGTAATAACTTTCTGGCATTGTCTCTAGTATTATGGGGAAGCATTCAATATTTCACCATTAAGTATAATGTTAGTAGTAGGGTTTTTATAGATATTCTTTACCACAGTGAGGATGTTCCCATCCTCTAGAGTGTTGAAAATTTTTACAAAGTGCATTCTGAATTTTTCAAAGACTTCCTATGCACTGAGGTGATCACATAAATGTTCTCCTTTATGTTGTTAATATGATGAATTACGTTGATTGATTGTTTTTAACTGAACACATACATGTTTATCATTTAGGATTTTATTCAGTTTTGAGTGACATAAAATTCTCACATGACCCACAAATTAGCAAGGTGTTTATTTCTCAAGAGTTTAGAAACAGGCAGTACAGGGATCGAGTAGCCACTTAACAATGCAAAAGGGGAACAAAGTTACTCATTTGTTTATATTGTTTTTGAACTATGTGCTCACTACAGAAATTACACTTTTCACAGAAGAAGGAATCAGAGGATTGGAAAAAGTCTCTAATCATGATAACCTGAAACAGCAGTGAGAATTGGCAGGTTTTACTGTGTAGGAAATTCAAACAGCTGTGCACATCTAGCCACCAAAGTAGGACTATGAAGGGTGAGCTCATGGAGATGTTTGTGGAAGCTGCCACCTCTGAGGGAATTGAAGTTATGTGCTTAGTGATTGGCTCAGGGCTGATGTTCAACAAAGCCAATAGTTAGGAAGTCAAGCTTGAAGTTTGGAACTCCTGAATAGTTTTAGATCTGTCAATCTGCTACTTCCACATCCTTTTGAGGTTAATGGCTTCTTCTTCATTTTGCATTCCAAATCTCATGCAAGTTCCTCTTGTCCAACCGTATAGCAGAGAAGAGTCTGGAAAATGTGGTTCTAAGTCTCATGTAACACAATCCAGCACAATCATCATTACACCTAGCTTTCACTCTCATGGTTGCAAGGGCTCTCTCTTCAACTTGAAGTATTGTGTCCAACTTGGAGGACCAAAGCACAAAAGATGAAATTACCAAGTCTAATGAAACCATCCTTTTTGCACATTTTTTACTTACATCAACTACTTATTGACCAAAACAACTGGTTGTATACTACATTAGCTACAAAAATGCTGCAGATCTCTCAATAGTAAAGATCAATAACTTATCCCAACAAGTACCAGAGTCAATATCACAGTGACCACATGCATTACATATGGGAATGGGATAATTAGAAACAGTAACAAAACTAATTTCAAATACACTTATATACTAAAAAACACTTTACTTAAGTCTAAGGAGACTTCACAATGGAAATGATACAATACATATTAATGAACCATAATGATAATAACTATCAGAATTGTATGATACAGCTATAAGGACATTGGGAGCAACGGTTATATCATAAAGGCTTATATTAGAAAATACCAAGTAGAAATTATGAGCTAGGAGTCACTTCCAAGATGAGACACTGATAGAGCAATTCCATATTTACAACATTTTAAAGATTTCTCCTCCAGTGTGAACTTCCTTATGCATAAAAGATTCGATGCACCTGAAGGCTTTCCCACATTGATTACATTCATTGGGTTTCTCTCCAATGTGACTTTTCCCATGTCTTTGAAGCATGAAGGTAAACTAAAGGATTTTCCACATTCCTCACAGGTCTATATCACAGTATGAGTTCTCACTACCTGACAAAAGATTGAGAAAGATGTGAAAGCTTTTCCACATTCTTTAAATTTATATGGTTCCTCTTCAGTGTGTATGTTATCAAATAAGCACTGAAGTGTTAGGAAATACATTTTCCCACATTTCTTACACTTGTATGCTTTCTCTCCAATGTGAATTTTCACAAGCCTTTGAAGGAATTAGATACAAGTTAAGACTTTCTTACATTCCAGATATCAATATGACTTCTCTCTAGTATGAGTTCTCATTACCTAAGAGATGAGAAGGCAGAAGTTACTGCATTTCATATATCCACAGTTTCTCTTCCAGTGTGCATGATCACATGTACAGTAAAATATGAAAAGTGAAAGGATTTGTCACATTGTTTACAATTATAAGGCCTGTCTCCAGTGCTTATGGTTACTAAAGGGAGAGGGGAAACTGTAGCCTTTCCCACATTTATATGTATAGAGATCCTTTTTGATTATGTTTTCTCACTTGTAGAGTAAGCTTTCAGGAATAAGTGAAGGTTTTCCTATATTTCTTATATTTGAAAGGCTTCACCTCAATGTGAATCTTACATGTACAATAAAGGATGTAGAAGAAATAAAGGCTTTCTCATACCCTTCTACAGTCAAAAGGAGATATTTTCAATATGAGTTCTCACACATGCCGAAAGGATGAGGGACAATTGAAGATTGTTCCACATTTCTTATGTTCATAGTATTTCTCTTCAGTGAGATTTTCCACATTTTTCTAAGAGATGAAAAAAATGGAAGGTTTTTTTTTTCACATTTTTCACATTATATGAAATAAGGCTTATCTCCACTGTGAGTTTTAAATGTACAGCAATGGATGAAGAATGAATAATGGCTTTCCCATAGTTTTCATATTATTTTCCAAAGTGTATTTTCATGTGAGTCCTACAATACAAAGAACAGCTGAAGGGCTCTCTACTGTCCTTAGATTCATAGGGTTTGTGTCAGTGTGTGATCCTGTGTGTGTTTTAACAGATGAATGATTAATTACTATTTCTTACATCCACTGAATTCATAGCTTTTCTCTTCAGTATGAGTTCTTTTGTGCACATTTAAATTTGAAATCTGGCTGAAGTTTTTCTCACATTGATTATCCTCATTATATTTCTCTCTAGTATGGAATATCTTTTATACATTACATATTAAGGTATTTTTCAAATACTTTCCAATTTGATTCTATTCATAGAGGTTCTTCACCATATGAATTCTTAAATACCTCTCCTATGTCTTGTGCTGATCTTCTGTGTCATGATGGAAAAAGATGAGGATTACATAATAGGAAGTTTTTCCACATTGTTGGTGAAGTGACATAATACGAATTTAAGGTAGACTGTGTTAATAAAGGCTGTGTATTCTTATCCTTGATGAAATACTCCAAAAATGTTATGGGTAAAAAGTCAATTTAGTGTATAAAATGAAATACAAAAAAACCCACACACACAAGCAAAAACAAACAAACAAAACCCAAATCCAGTAAACAAGAGACAAAGTAATGAAAATAGATGGTACCAAAAAATTACAATAGGGGTCCCTGGCTGGACCATGTTGGTGGAGCATGTGACTCTTGATTTTGGGGCTGTGAGTTTGAGCCCCATATTGGATGTAGAGATTACTTTAAAAATAAAATCTTTTTAAAAATTGTCATAGACACAATCCTATAAATAATTATATTAAATATAAATGGAACAAACTCTCCAATTAATAGGCATGAATGACCAGAATGGATATGACCAGAATGGATAAAAAACAAAATCCAACTCTCTTAGTTTACATAAGACGTATTTAAAATATAAAGATAGGATGAGAAAGTAAAAGGAGGAAAAAAGATATCAAATGAACCCTAAGCCTAAGAAACATGGGGTGATGTTATTATCAGATTAACAGTATTACTAGAGACTAAAAGGGATGCTTCATAATAATTATTGTCAATTCACCAAGAAGATAAAATAATCTTACCTATGTGCACATCTAATAACAGAGCTTCAAAATACATGAAATTTAAAAAAGTGCTACACCTGAAGGGAGAAATAGACCAATTCACAATCATAATTTAAGAATTTAACATTTTATCTCAGTAATTGATAGAACAAGTAGGAAAAAAATGGTAAGAATAATGAAAATTTAAACAAAATTATCAGAAACTTGTTTTAATTGATATTCGTAGAATACTACACACACATTCATTTCAAGTACACATGAGAAACTCATCAAGATAATCCATATGTTGGCTAACAACAAAACCCAATAAATTTTAAAGGACTGAAATCATACAGAGTATGTTCTTAGACCAAAACAGAGTTATTTTGAATATGAAAAATGTTATCTCTGGATATTTGGAAATGAAGCAACATACTTCCAGTTAACCAATAGATCAAATAAGAAATCAACAGGGCAAAAACCAAATAATCAAGTCAATAAATGGGCAGAAGACATGAACAGACACTTCTCAAAAGAAGACATACAAATGGCTAACAGACACATGAAAAAATGTTCATCATCATTAGCCATCAGGGAAACTCAAATCAAAATCACACTGAGATACCA